GGGGGGGGGGGGCAACAGTACCACGTGACTCGCCCTACCAATCAAAGTCCATTTTAATAATATTGACAATGTCTAGATCCGTCTATGAAACACGATTCTGCTATGAATAAAATAAAATAGTGGGGCCCGTATGCCCTTTTCCGTAGAACGTAATCGGCCGTTTTATATCTAGGTAGAGCGTACGGACCTCTGTAATTCAACTTAGAGCGTAATTCGCGCATTTTACGTATAGCGTTATTCGCCGCTTTAATTTACGTAATGCGTTGTAGCCACTTGGAATTTAGTGTAAAGCGTAATCGAGAGGTCAAAGTGATACGTAGCCAGCTCTCAAAATTTAGCGTAGAGCCATATAGTAGACAAAAAACTAGACAAAGCTCAGACAATGTATATGCTAATGAGCCAGTTAAAGGCCGTGTTTAAACGGAATCACCCAAGGCGATTTAGATGTGGTTTACCCCGAAGCCGGTTTCAAGTGGCTCCATGTGAACGCTCCGAAATCACATTGAAAGCGCCTCGATCCCAAGGCACTTCTAGAGGTGGTTTCAAATCGGTTTCCCCGCATCGCGACTTGCGTCTGAACGCAATGTGATTTCAATGTGACTTCGCCTGGTCATGGATTACGGGGTGATATTTATTTATTTATATGCAATACCAACTTTTACGTGGCAGCAACTTAAAGAGCAGTAATGGTCAAATAATGTGTCCGTTCTAGGGCGTTCTAGGGCGAGCCTCTGGCGGGACCACGTCGGCATTCGCCCGAGATACGCTGGGAGGGGGGCACCAGCAAGCAGGTCGTTGAACTCTGACATTAATAACACGCCACCTTGCGTGTTATCATCTAACAGCAATAAATGCATTGTGATCGGGCACGGTTTCACCAGATGTGAGGAATGTGAGTTACCCGAATCGCGGTTTGGGTGATTCCGTTTAAACACGGCCAAAGCCTGTCGTTTGAGTACATGTTGTCTCGCGGGGTTAACACGGTAGGGTTTTAAGTGCCGGAAAGTTCAACACCGTAGATCTTCTTTTCTTCCTGTTGAGAGTGCCTAAGTATCTAACTAAACGTTTGAACTACCAAGATTTCGTGTTCTAGGATGTTTGTGGATTTGGGATTGAAAGAGTGTTCTTGTTGTGTTATAGGTGGTGGCCGAGGACAATAGTGATAATATTGCTACATAAAATTCATATTGCTAGGTGTGCAATCTTGTTTGTACATTTCATTTTATGACTGACTGGTCTCTCCAATGGATGTGTTGTTACAGTTTGGTAATGATATTGTAATCAAACAACAGGAGCTCACGTACTTATTAGCATTTACCTTGTCTTAGCTGTCATTATTTTCCTATGGGCTTTAAAAATTTGTCTTCACATTACTTATCACATTATCACATATCAATTCATGGTTTTCGGATACCTCTCCATTTAAGCGCTACGGTATACACTGTATGAATGTTTCTGTATGTAGTATGTAGTACATGTACTTTGAAGTTGGTATAAAAAATTGCAAAAAAATTGTGATCCTAACAATGTTCATGACAATAAATTTTATTTGTAACTCACAGGGCAGGAAAACTCTACACATAAACCCAGGAAAGACAACCCTACACATAAGTACTTAGGGAGTAAACCCTAGCACAAAAAAATCTATGAGGATGGCCCATGCAACATTGTATAAATGTGTTGCAATGTAATGTAATGTACAATGTCTTCATTTGCTTGTATAATTGTTAAATGATTTCGATATTTCGTGGTTTGGACTATCTTTTGGAACGTTTGGAATGTTTTGTATCTTTTGAAGCGTTTTGTTTCACTTTTGTTTTTATTTTTATTAATACAAGACATGCCGAGGGCACACCCAAGTCCTTTTGTTGCTGCCACGTAAAAGTTGGTATTGCATATAAATAAAGAAATATCACCCCGTAATCCATGACCAGGTGAAGTCATTGAAATCACATTGCGTTCAGACGCAAATCGCGATCCGAAGCTAGAGAACCGATTTGAAACCACCTCTAGAAGTGGTTTGGGATCGAGGCGCTTTCAATGTGATTTGGAGCGTTCAGATGGAGCCACTTGAAACCGGCTTCGGGGTAAACCACATGTAAAGCGCCTTTACTGACTTCATATGAACAGGACCTTTGTCAATTTTGTTTTCTTTTTGTGAATTTTGTCTTCGTCTCTATTTAACTATGAATGTATTAACTGTAGCATGGAAATCGTTTATACTGATGACGAATGTGCCAGACAAATTGTAAATTCCCTTTATAATTAGTGTGTCCGAAGTAGAACGTCCTTGACAATACGTCCGTATTAAACAACACAATGCTGGACGCGGGTAATCAAGTTTGTCACCCTTGACCTTTGCCCTCGATTGGTTTGACCTGTGATTACGCTGAACCGCCATTTTTGAGCGGTGCGTGTCGGTCATTTATTTCTCTTCAATCTGAGAGGATTCCCATTTTACTTAGGCTCTGTATCAACTCTGGGCAGTTTTGGAAGACACTGTCTGGTAAGACTTTTGTTCACAACCTACACTCTCTCTGTCGAGGTACCATATACTAATATGATAAATGTTTATTGGGCAAACATATAGTCAGTCGCAACCTACAAGGAGGACTTCACTTAAATCTCCTTGATTAGTATAGTTTCCACAGTCCTTTTACTGTAGATTGCAGTCACCACGACCTCCTCTTACTGCTTCGTGGTTTTGCTCCAGTCGGAGGATAGGGAGAAAAGAATTTATTGGCCTACCTTGGTTCTTGTGTATGATGATTTAATTGCAAGGGTTAGTAGGAATACAAAGAGCCGCCACTGAGTGAAT